CCGCCGGCTGTCTCGCCCAGAATTGCCTTCTTCCCGTTCGCCTTCAGCCATGCCGTCGCGGCCTGGAGCCGCTCTTTGCCGATGGTGGACGACACGCACGCCGTCGAAGTGCCTGATCCATCCGAGTCGAGGTACTGGTGCATCTCATAGACGATTTTGTTGGACGGGTCAGTGAGTTTTCCCATGTCGTCCGCGGTGCCGCTCGATACCTAGAATTTGACTGGTGAGTAGTGACGGGCGTCGCCAAGGAAAGAGAAAGCTAAGGAGGCCCCTTACCCAGTGCCAGGCGCCCGTCCACGAATTTCCCTCGACGAAAATATACTGCGAGGTAGCTCCGGCGGCGCGAATGGCATTAATAGCCTTCTGGTTTAGGGCTGCGACAACAGTGTTGCTCTCGTCGTGGAACTCGTTGTTCGTGTCAAAGATGACCTTGTCGTTAGACGCGTACCGTTTCGCCATAGTCGACCACCACGACCCAAAGCCGTCCACGTCCGTGATAATATTGTTGTAATATCGCCCGAAGTTATGCGGGTCAATGATAGCGTAGGCGCCCCTACTCAAGCAAATTGGTTAGCCGCCGCCTGTGCGTCCTGACGCCAGGGGGGCCACAGATGAAAGACGGACTTCCCGGTGATGAATTTGACAATCTGGTCGAGGCCGACCACGTAGGTCTCGTTGACGGTCCCCGTCATCTTGCTCGGGATGAAGCGTTCCCTGTCCCCATCTTAGCGCTACATAACGGCGATCGCGACTTTACACAAGAGTAACTGACATCATGATGGGGATCCTAAAGGAGTTCATCCCTTTGCCAATCATGGTCTGGGCGGGTCGCGTTAGCACAGCCATCTCGGACAAGGGCGAGTGGAAACATACGTTAATGGCATTCTGGTCAGGCCAGGTATAATCCTTGCCGAGCTGACCAGGCAAAGCCGTGTTGCCGAACTCAGCACCAGACTCATTGACGCCGACGAACTGAAACTTGCTCGCTCGCTTCTCTGCCGGCGCCGCGAACGCGCCGGCGACTGCGGCAGCCGTAACGAAGGTCTCGATGAACTTCATGATATCTGACTGAGGCACTTATAGGACTTGCAATAACGTGTCTGGGGTGTCCATGACGGATCCAGCCCATCCCGTACGCCGTACAGAACCAGCCTGGTTTATATGTCTTGTGAGTTCATCACTATGAAGAAGGAACGAATAAGGCGGAGGTCTTAGCTCCGCCTTGCATATGGACAGGGAATCCTATACTATTGGCGAGACCGCAGCATCCGGTGCCGAAGAGCCTCCTGTAGGAACCCATCTAATGACGCCCGTGATGATTCGAACGTCGCGGACTCACGGGGTTTGACTGCGAGTGTCCACCAACCGAGCACGAAGGCGGGCGGTGGTACTCCGTACGCAGGCCTGGGTGTATCCAGGGTTTTTTCCTCGCTGCTAGGACCATGAACATTATCCGTGATTGAGAGCCTAGCATTCTTGTTACAACACGTCCCGGTGATGTGAAGGGGCCTTTGATCGCAAACATTGGGTTGGTATAACTACCCTATCCTCTCTCAAACAGATCACGCGAAAACGAAAGTACAATACTATTCCTCAGAGCAATGAAACCAAAAAAATACAACAACACGGAAATTTATTGTACATTCAAACAGTCTGAGTTTAATGAGTAGCGTTGGATATCGATATCAACCTCCTGGAGCAGCACATATTGCTCCTTTCGTGGCATACGGGGGTTCGGGTTCCGGATGGTTAAAATGGGACTGCTAGGCCTGGGAGAGAGTGAAAGAGAGATGTACACTATTTGGAGAAAATAAATACCGGTACGCTGAGGGCCGAGATGTGCCAAAGGGTAATGTATTGATAAATAGACAGGCAAATATGTAAAGGATGGGGTCTTTGTAAGTGTGGTGAGTAGACAGGTGTTGACAGACCGGTGGACCCTCCTCACCGGGCCGACGCGACAGGGCATTTATCGCGACGCCTGTAGATTGATGGGCGCCTCGCCTTCACCTTGAAGAAGCAGCATCAACCAATCCTACCCCCACGACCGTCGTCGCATACCAACAAGATGCAGCCCACACGGTGTCTGCTCAAGGGCCGGTCCGTGTGGAAAGGTGAACCCCCACCCCCGCCTCCAACACGCAATCTCCCTCTGCGGTCCGGCCGTTGCTAACCACGTCTCCGTCTTTGAACAGGCCCTCACATCGTCCCGTAAGCCGGCCCCCCTTCCCCCCCGAACGAACCATGCGCGCGGCGCATCTCCGGAACCAAGGGTGCACCAGAGGATTCTGACGTGGATGGCCCCCGGCCTAGTCTCCCCATCACGCGCCCGCAGCCCGGCGAGAAGCTCAGGCCCATCCGGACGCAGGCCCGCGCCGCCACCATCCTGCCCAACTTCGTCGGCCTCAAGTTCCAGGTCTACAACGGCAAGATCTACAACGACGTGACCATCACCGAGGACATGGTCGGCCACAAGCTGGGCGAGTTCTCTCTGTGCGTCCCCGCCTCTCCTTTCACTTACTTTTTGGTTCTGCCTTCCCCCCCTTTTTTTCCTTTCTCTCTCTTCTTCTTCCCTTCTGCCTATCTATGCATATCTAGTACGGCGTGCGTGCGCAGCCGCTAGGGGAGGCACTCCGACAGCTCCTGCATCCAGTCGATTCACGACAAGTATGACCGAGCTGACTGGATTTGGTCTCGCCAGGACGAGAAAGCCCTTCATCTGGTCTCGAGGAAAGTAAACTGCCTAACCTGGGCAGGAACAAGATTCCACGGTTGCGAATAGACAAATAAGGAAGGGGAGGTGGACAGCGTGAAGGAAGCTGTACAACATACCCAACGGCGTTTTAGGGGCCTCCGAAGCGATCACACACCAAGGCGATTGGCCCATATCAGACGGTCACTTGCCCGATGTATAATACACGAAACTTAGATTGTAAAAACATGAAACGTTCAAGGATCACAAGGCTTAGCAGAAATGAGATGAGCATTTTGAACCAATAGGCTCTCTTCCTCTGCAGGATCGAAGTAGAAAAAACAACCGGGCATTTTTTTTATACATGGATATAATGATGAAATGAGCGGTCGCCGCCCTGCCCACCGAATAGGTCTTCAACCGTGCCAGTCACCCTGTATAATACCATGATACCTCGGTGTCACCCCCCAAAACGCCGTGCGCCTTTCTAGTCCGTCGTCAAATATGCTTCCTGTAATGACTGTATCATGAATCCCCGCTCGCAAAACGTATCTCGCCGGCGTGAGAGATATCCGGCTATAAGTAATAGTACGGCCTCTAGGCGCAGCCAACCCGCCTATCGGTAGAATTCGCTGCGCTTGACGTTGACGCCATACTCGCCGACCGCCATGCCGAGGTCCTCCATGGTGAGGACGGTGCGGTTCTGGCTACCGCCTTGCCCGCCGCCACCGTAGCCCGCCCTCTGGATGCCCAATGGCGCGCCTCGTCCCTGATCCTTGCCGCCGGCGGGCGCTTGGCCTGGTACGGCGATGCCGGCGGCCGCGCCGAGGTTGCCCATCGGGTTGTTAGCGCTCGTGTTAGAGGCCCGGATCCGGCTATACTGGTACGCATCGGCGGCGACGTCCGCCACGAACTTCTGTACGGCGAGCGCGATCAGGCGCGCCAGGCGGGGATCTGTGTGTGGCGGTGGGGGGAGGCCGGCCTTGGTCATGTAGTAGTTGGTCACGGCGTCCGGGATCTGTAGGCGCATTGCACTGTTAGATGGGCGCACGGCAGGCAAGCCAGGGATGCGGCGGGGAAAGCCGGGCACGGGAGGCGCAACTTACGATGGGCGCATAGTCGTCCATCTTGGACAGAAATTCCTTCAGAGAGGTGTCCTTCTTGTTGGCAAGCTTCGCGTCTACTGGGGCTGCATGCTCCCCATCGCCCTGGGGCGCGGTGCTTGGCGGAACTTGCTCGTTCCCGGTTGGGGCGCTCGCCATTGTGGGGGTCACGAGTGTGGATATGTAATGGGAGTAAAGAGTCGCCGTGGGAGAGCAGAGTAACACTCGAAGGCGTGTATTTTGCGCCTATAGTGGATATGCAATGCGCGCGCTGGTCGGCGGTAGTCTCGCTGGGAAGACGCGATACCTCGAGGGGGCAAGTCGCGATGTACTAGAGCGTATGCGTAAGGACTCGGGTCGTCTGAGTCGGAAGGGGAGGACTCGCAATCAGCTGTCTCGTTTCTGGGGTGTATCCGGTTGGATAGTTCAGCTGCGCGAATGATTGAGGCGCCTGATTGCAGATGCAGATGGTAAGAAGAGGGCGTGGTGGATGATGGCGATGATGATGAAAGCGAAAGATAAGTTGAGAGGATGGTTGGCGAATTAGGTAATGTTTCTTGGGGAAGGGCGGAGATACATTGGCTGGGGTCGATCCAATTAAGCTGTGGTCTGTGCACCATCGAACGCAAGGGGACAGTGCTAACGAATTCCATTGGACAGCACAATCCGCCTTGGATTTCTACTGGGGGTTTATAACTCTGCTCAAAACTAGTATAAAGTATAAAACCAACATACATAAAGGACAAAGCGCAACAGATCATCCTACAGCAATTTCTGTATGATTGTTGAATCGCGTATTGGATATCGGTATGATATAATATGACGTGTAATCACCGTACTTGGAATTATATACCTCCTGCTGCACGCTTAATAAAACCACAGCGAAAACATGTCTCGAAGCTGTAACACGGCCAATACCTAGGCGCCTACTATGCACAAGGAACGTACCGACTTTGTCCGTGAAACTGCACGTGGCAATGTCTCCATCCGAGATTCTAGCTCTGGGGTGCATCCCCCAAACCAATCCGGCGCTCGGCAAACCAGGCATTGTGGTTCTAGCCCTCAGCATCGTCGCTCTGCTAAGCTACACACAGCTAATGGGAATTCCACTCTCGCCTCACTCACAATCGGCCGGACGCTGACATCTCACAATAACGAGTCACGCCACTCGTAGACGGAACCGGATCCATCCGGCCCGGTCCCACGGCTTGGTGGTCTAGTGGTATGATTCTCGCTTAGGGTTCACCCTTCGCCAGAGAGCGTGTTCGAAAAGAGCGTGCTTGGAATTTGCGAGAGGTCCCGGGTTCAATCCCCGGCCAAGCCCCGTCTCCCTCCCTCCTGGTCGTCTGTCTCGCCAGGCTGGGCTCTTCTTTTGGCTGTTCACTCGACTTCCTAGTGTAATGGTTATCACAGCGGATTTTGATTCCGCTAATCCGAGTTCGATTCTCGCTTGCCACGTCTCCTCCCATCCGTCTTTTTATCTCGGGCCGCCTTGTACACCATAAGACCAGCGGTGGGACAATACGGACGGATAGTGGCAACAGGAATACGGTGCCTGAGCTCTTACTTACTTATTATGGGCATGGGCTTGAGGCAAATAGTATCCATGTGCGACACTACCCATATATGGAATCATCAGACAAACAAGTGAGGGACTGGTCTGGCAATGGCCTATGAAAAGAGATCTGGTAAAGTGTGGACTTGATGATTATATGAAGCTGGGTAGTTCCCAGAGACCCGATAGGCTAATCAAGCATACCTCACTGAGACTGGCCTCTTCTGCATCGCATCAAGAGGCCTAATAGAGGCATGAAGCCAGTTGGAGCACGAAAAAGTAGGACTTATGAAGTGGCAGTATGAGTTATCAGTGTATGATGGTCTAGAGGCTCTGGGTGTCTTGGGATGCAGAGTGATAGGATAAGGTAGATAAAGTAGACAGGACTTTGTCGCCGGTGGCCATAGCAGCATAGAGCTAGCTACTATACATTGCAAGGGAAGCCTCGATATTCCAATGCGAGTGCTCATTGGTGTTATATGAAAGGGCAGCTTCATGGCCACTTACTGAAATACCATACTGGAATTTGACCTCAGAACCAAACGTTCCAACCTACATCGAAGATGAGTACCTACTCCTCACGGCGGGGATGGGGAGAGTATGTATGAGCACATGGAAAAATAAATAGTAGGAAAAGGCTTGCGATGATTATTCATTGCTTTTTACCTAAGTACCTCACTTGCTAGGTACAATCTTAGCATGTCGTGTCTTTGCTGCATTGACTTGTGTGAATATCTTGACTGACAGACGGCCGGATGAACGCTGACTAGCCGAATGTGGCTTTCTGGTCAGCATTTGAGCCGGTTGATTTTCACATGTGTAATCCGTAGAGGGAGTAGAGTAGCCAAAAGATTCCCCACACACAGTCCTTGCACCCCTGCTAGAGAACCAAACATACGTACCTTCTGGGCGATGGTTATAGTGAATAAAGTACAGAGTACCCACTACACCACACGCACCTCATTGAGAGTCACGCAAATCTGACATACTGCTATAGTTCCTAGTCTAGGTAGGTAGCATAGCAGGAATCTGGTTTAGTTCTTACAATAGACGGCGGGTTTCCTGCCATATCGCCGTCAAGCAGTAGTATAAAGTCTGAACATGGTCCTCGTGGCTGTGGTTGTGACCGTGTTTCATTCAATCCCTCCTCTTGCTTCTGCTTCACCAGTTCCAGTGGTCGTGCTGTACTGTACTTGTACCTTGGGTAGGTACCTAATCGCTAAGGAACAGGCCCTGAACCGTGTGTTGCTAGTGCCTAACCATACCTAGCGTCGAAGCACAGCTCAAGTGCACCCCGCGATTGACCACCGATTGGAACCGATTGGACTCCGGCCTGCTGCAAGAGAGCTCAATTTTTCGCCCGCATTCTCCCTCCCTCGTCGGACCAACTGGGTGCAAGCAGCAACCTTTTTTTTTGCTTCTGCTGAAAGCCAGCGCCGACCGCGATTGGCCTTATAAGACAGCACCGATTCCCGTCTACCCACGCGCCTCCCCTCCCTTCCTTGGTCACAATGGGCGACATGGCGAACGAGATCAAACTGCTCTCGGGCAACAGTCACCCGGTGCTGGCCAAGCAGGTCGCTGACCGGTACGTAACATAGTAGACAAGAGACGCTGCTTATTTCCTCATGTCCAGTTCTTTCTTTATTCCATGTTGGCAAACGGAGCCCCCTGCGTCCCTGTCTGCCCCTCCGTGCGACGCTGCCACCGCGTGCAGCGTTTTTGTCGTGCACCACAGCAACAACCATAACGATGCCTGCACCGCTTTTACCTTCTGCCCAGCCCTGTCTTGCCCCCTGGCCCGAGTCGGCGCAACCTCGCACAAGTCAAAAAAAACCACGCTGACTGTAGTCCCACCAACAGGCTCGGCATCGAGGTCGCGAAGACCTTGACCCTCAACTACTCCAACCAGGAAACCAGTGTGACAATCGGCGAATCCGTCCGCGACGAAGATGGTACGGCCTCCCAACCCGCAGAACCGGCGCCCTTCCGGGTCAACCCGCCCTGACCGAACATGTGTGTTTTCTAGTCTTCATCCTCCAGTCCACCGCCCCCAACGATATCAACGACGGCCTGATGGAGCTCCTCATCATGATCCACGCGTGCCGGACCGCCTCTGCGCGGCGCATCACGGCCGTCATCCCCAACTTCCCGTATGCGCGACAGGACAAAAAGGACAAGAGCCGCGCCCCCATCTCCGCCAAGCTCATCGCCAACATGCTGCAGACGGCCGGCTGCAACCACGTCATCACCATGGATCTGCACGCCTCGCAGATCCAGGGCTTCTTCAACGTCCCGGTCGACAACCTCTACGCCGAGCCCAGTGTGCTGCGCTGGATTCGCGAGAACCGGGGCACCGAGGATGTTGTCATTGTCAGCCCGGATGCCGGTGGCGCCAAACGGTGAGTGACCTCGAACTGGGGGAGGACGAAGGGAAGTAAGTGTCTGCCGACACGCACAATGCTAACGCCGCTCTGTACAGCGCTACAGCTATCGCGGACCGCCTGGACCGAGGCTTCGCTCTCATCCACAAGGAGCGGCCCCGGCCCAACGTCGTCGGACGCATGGTGCTTGTCGGAGACGTCGAGGACAAGGTCGCCATCCTCGTCGACGACATGGCAGATACCTGCGGGACCCTAGCCAAGGCTGCCAAGACCGTGAAGGACCACGGCGCCCGCGAGGTCATCGCCATGGTCACCCACGGCATCCTGAGCGGCGACGCCATCAACATCCTCAACGACAGCTGCCTGAGCCAGATCGTCGTCACCAACACCGTTCCCCTAGGCGACAAGGTGGAGCGCTGCAGCAAGTTGCGCGTCATCGACGTGAGCCCCACGCTGGCCGAGGCCATCCGACGAACCCACAACGGGGAGAGTGTCAGGTAAATGATATTCCCTCCCACCTTAACCTATTCATTACCTTTTCCTCACCACCGTCATTGTTTCTCTCTCAAACTAACGCGACTGCAGCTTCCTGTTCAATCATGCTCCCGCCTAATCGGGAGTTGGATGTATATGAATAATGAATCAGTCAACTAGCTCTGGGGGGATGAAGGGGACATTGGAGATTTATTATGGGATGGGGCGTGTTTGCGGTAGAGAGCGCCCGCTGGCCCCGTTCCCTAGGTTTATATGGCGTTAATGGTAAAAGGGGGACTCCCCGTGTCAGGTGTCGTAACGACATCATTGCATATTATACACCCTCCGAACATCTGGGTTCAGAGGATGTGATTAAATTACTTTGCATAGAGAGATTTGTATCTATGGGTGGGCCCTGTTGGTGCCATATTGCACGAGCGTCATTTGCATAGGCTGGCGATTTGAGTCTGGTAGACAAAATTCATGGTGGTTCAACTTTGCAGAATAACTTGGGAGAAAACCCTAACATCGGCCACATATTGAGATGAATCACACAATACTACACATACAAGAGACTGAACAGATGGAAATGCTTTGTTGGGAATCTTAGTCTCGTTTCATTCTTTTGGTGGCCTCCGGGGAATACACTAGAGCCATTGGCCTATCTAAAGCCGCTCATGACCATCCCGCCATGCCTGCCATGGCTATGATTTTCATGCCAAAATGCAACAACCAGAAGACACCGACCGAACGCCTGGAAGCATCTACTTGCGCATGGAGCTTGCCCTTCTCTTGCGGGCATCAGCCTTGGAGGACCGGGCCTCGGCGACACGCTTGGCCAGGAGCTGAGCGTACTCGTTCTATGGCAGACTTGTTAGTGGCGCGTATACAGATTGGGGTGGTGCGGTGTATAAAAACGTACGGCCTCATCCTTGACCTTCTCGGCCTGGCGGCGCTTGAGCGCGGTGCGGTGGCGCTTGTGCTGGAGACGCTGGGGAGTGACCAGTCTCTGGATACGGGGTGCCTTGGTGTAAGGCGTCTTGCCCTCGCCCTTGGGCTGGACCTCACGTCGGATAACGTACTTTCGGACCTGTTCGGTAGAGGGGAACCCCAATATATTAGCCATCCCGTGTTCCCACGCTCCGTGTGTTTCCTCTCAGACTCTACTTCGGTGGTTACACTGCTAGGGATTCTTCTCTCTCATCCCGCAGAAGCAACGACCGAGTAGGTGATGACGAGTGTTGTAGTTCTACTTACATCGTCATCCTTGCTGAGGCCGAAGAAGCGGCGGATCTTGGTGGCACGCTTGGGGCCGAGGCGCTTGGGGTGGACGACGTCGGTTAGGCCGGGGAGCTCGCTGTCGCCCTGCTTGACGATGGAGAGGGCAAGAACAGCGAGGTCCATGCCGACGATGCAGCCACGGACGGACTTTCTCTTGCGCTCGCCGGTGCGGCGGGGTCGGTAGCAGGAGTGGCCCTCGGAGAGCAGGAGTCGGACACGGGTAGGGTGCAGGACGCCCTGCTTCATGGGGAAACCCTGCTTGTCGTTTCCACCGGTGATGCGGAAGATGTAGCCCTTGAACTCATCGCCGAGGTTGTCACCGGGGACTTCCTGGCCCATCTGATAGTACCACTGCGTTAGCACCAACAACGACAACAGGGTCCATATCGAGGCCGGCGATGCAGGGGTGAACTCTTCGACGTCGAGAGAAGGTCGTGCCTAAGACCTGCGAGGGTAGGGGAGTCTCTCGAGGCTTGCTGGCTGGGACCGTGTTCTTCTCGGCTCGTGGGAATTCTTGCCGTCTGGCATCGGGGCTCGGGGCGAGGAGCGGGACCGTAAAACGTACACGCTTCTCCATGAAGTCGCGGAGCTTGCGCTCATCTTCAATCTCGATGAGCTTCTGGCTGCCATTGGCAGGGTAGGAGATGTTCAGCTTCATCTCGGCGGTTGTTGGCGATCGACGTTGGGTGACGGGGATTGAGGGAGGAAGTCAACCGTGTCCGAAGGCTGCCAGAGGTAATCGAGAGTTGGTGATTTTGCTATTCTCG